CAGATCTCTTGATAACATGGGCAGAAAAGTGGCATGTTGCTATCAACACAGACAAAACATTCACAACGCTTTTCTCTCTTTCCCACTGGGACAAAGCTGCTAGTATTCACATAGGAACATCCTTGCTAAAGGAGGAAAGCTTCCCCACTTATTTTGGAAACATCATCAGCTGCCTTGCCGACTGGCGTGGGCGATCATGCCTCTCTATAATCTGCGATCTTCTGCTGCATGTATCAGTTCGTGTGCCGACACACCTCCATGCCATGCAACAAGAATGTCAAGCATCTTCTCTTGTTATCTTCCTCTGTTCCTCTTTCCACGGATCTTTCCAGAGGTCACCACATGTTCTGTTTACCCTCTTCTCATAACATGGCCGAAAAATGATGATTGTCTCCTTCTGATGTCTGCGATAAGTTGCCTTCGGGCTCACGCCTCTTTCAGAACCCCTTGGTTGCTCTTTTTAGCTGTCCAAGATATTCTAAGCATTCTTCCGTAAAGCCACATCTCTGAGGCCTCTAGAAATTGTTTGGCCTGCCTACCAATTGTCCAGGATTCACAGCCATATGTTAAAACTGGATGTATGTAGCAAGCAAGAATTCTTTTTCTAACCCTCAATGAAAAGGATATATTGCACAAGATGTTTTTTGTTTTACAAAATGCAGTTTTTGCCTGTCCTATTCTGTTTCTTATCTCAGATATGCATCTTCCATCTGATGTTATCCATGTGCCCAGATACTTAAATTTCTGTACTTGTCCTAAAATAATACCATCGACTTTTATTACACATTTAGGAATAATTTGTTTCTTTGATACTACCATTACTTCTGTCTTTCCATTATTTAAACTGAGGCCCATTATCTTGGAGTAACATTTGATAAAAGGCTCACGGGGAGCAAACATATAGAAAATATAGAAGGGAAGGCCAGGAGACGACTAGGCCTACTTAGAAAACTGGCAGGTACAGGATGGGGAGTGGATAAAAAACCCTAAAGAAAGTTTATAATGGAGAGATAAGACCCCACTTGGAGTTTGGGGCAACAGCATGGTCAACAGCTGCTAATTCCTATCTACAATCGTAAGACAGAGTGCAAAATCAAGCCCTTAGATTCATTACAGGATCCATGAAAACTGCACCAATCCTGAAGATGCAGAAAATAACTGCAATGTAGCCATTGTCCTATAGAAGAGACACTAAAACAATGATCCAAATAATGAAGTTGAATAGTATGCAGTCACACTCAATGAATGAAAGGTTAGATGATCTGCCAACTCAAACGTAGCAGCTTTGTCCATCAGGGGAAAAGACTAAGAAGACAGTATCAAGCGGATCTACATATTAGAACAACATCGCTGAAACCTACCCTATACCCCGTACCTTGGGAGCAAGTCAGTGATACAATACAGATAATGACTTCAGTCAATGGATTCACAACTGGAGATGAGTCCAATGACCTTCAAAAACAGCTGCCCTAAGCATGATTTAAGAAAACTATCCCGAACAGTCGTGGATACATGTTTACACGACTGGATAAGCAACCAGTGCGGTTAAAAATGGGGATGCTGGAGTCTTTATTACATACCCAGTGTCGTAAGGTGAATCAACCAAACCCTGCACAGTGGACTATTCGTGACGTTGGCGCCCCTAACGAGCAGGTCACATTTCAAATTTAGACCCGTCCGGTGGGTATATAGTCCCTCATATCTATTTATACCTCTATCTGGTGGAATAGATATTTCTATACCCTCTAGTTGTTTTAAAAAGTCTACATTTTCAAACCTGCAACTGTGGGATAGATATTTTCTGAATTAATATTCAGAATTCATAGAAGCTTTTTTACTCCTTGATGTACTAATCCGGCACTTTTTTTCTAGAGACGCCAAGCGAGATCAGGCGGGCCATTCTTTGCCAGACTTCCTATGTGTAAAGAAGTATTTCACCTCTCTGATTAAATCTTGGCGCATTCAATATACCAGTTAAATCTTTGAAGGATTCCTAAGTTTAGGATGATACCTCCCTGGAAGTCAGGCAAACGATTCACAGTCCAACCAACCTCCATCCACCAATAGTACCTACTACCACCACAACTTCAACATGATAGGAGCTTGTGTTAGTTCCAGTGGCTGAGAAGCAGTTGTTGCAGACCACACAGTGTCATCACTCCAAGTAATCCTTCTTCAGGAGCTTTGTTGAGCTCCAGCACAATCAATTAGTTCCAGTACATGAACTCAGTCAGTGTTTGCAAGAGTAACCAGAGGAGAAGCAGTCTACTGAGTCAGCCTGTTCAGATCCTCCCTGAGGAGAGCAGTGACCTACCAAACTGATAAGTAACATCTGAGATGACATGCTATATGCTCTTTTTACAGGTCCACCTGGAGTCACGAGGATGATCACTGATACTCTCAAGAACTGACTCTGGCTGATTCAGCAGTACTTCATAAACTCTAGTTCCCGAACTCCAGTCACCGGGGACCATCTTTGACTGTCTTGATATATATATATGTGTGTGTTGCATTTATTACATCCATTCAGAAGTTTTTATTACTGACTTGGCTGTCCCTTTCTCACTATTCAAACTGTCTAACTTTTATGTTTGTGTGATTATTAATTTTAATCTGTGTTAACATGGCTGTGATAGTACACTATCATAGCCTGTGAGCTATCTTTTTATAGCAGTGGGGGCTTCCAGCCAAGTTGCGCCTAGGATTATTAGATATTCTGTAGTGCCATAACTTGAGTTGCCCTACTCCTGAAATAGGTTGGGCGTATATTGGCCACGGGATCCCCTTTAGACCAATACGAGCCGACGCCTCAACATTATTCTATTTCAGAGTGCTGTTGGTTTATAAGGAGAAATCCTTAAATCAAGCACGCGACACGAGCGGTATGTGATACCCAGGCAACCACCTCCACATAAAGTGTAAATCCACTGGTAAATTATGTTCCAACTACACAACAGAGATCGTAACTAGAGCAGGCTGCCGAAATGTTACACAACACAAGTTCTGACTGCCACCAAGTGTTCATATTCACAGATGCACTATCTTTGCTTCAATCCCTCAAGAGTGGCAAACTCTCTCACTTGAGATCTGAACTTGGCAAGGTGGCTGCAAAAAGTGTGCTGTACTACAGGGGAGGGGGGGGGGGGGCCTCCCATTGTGGCATACCAGGAAAAAAAACCGCAGATAAACTTGCTAAGAAAGGGGCAGAATGTGACCAGAAAGAGAATGCGGTAACATGCTATGGGAAGAAATGGGCCGCCTAGTCTATCAGAAGTGAACAGAGTCTGGCCAGAGATGACTACCACTTACTTGACCGGCATGGGCAGGTCATTGTCCTACGTCTCAGGACAGGACATAACAAACTTAACCAGCATATGCACAGGCTTGTTCTAACACAAAGTTGTATGGGACTAAAAAGGAACTCATTAAAAAAAAAGTCAAGTTTATCATAAGAACCTGTCTCTCTGTATAAATCAGAAAGCGAACACAAGAAGAAGAAGACTGGCATAAGGGTTGTAGGCCATAAGTGCTCCGTTCTTCTTCTGACACGAGCCTGAGTCCGAAGAATTTCAGCGCAGCACATGAAAGTTGTAACACTCACGAGGACCCTAATATACTTTGGGTAGATTTTTAACTCTAAATTTTGCCCGGGCAGCGCCGTTTCCAATTGCCAAGGGAATTTTTTTTTTTTTTTTTTATGTACGCAGCAAATACACACGTGCGTCCAATCTTACTACTCGGAGACCAGGGGAAATTACTAGAAAACCACATAAAATAATCTCAGCCTTTAGCTGGGCTTGAATCCGGGATGTCTGGCATTCGAAGCAGACGCCGTGCCTCTATACCACGCTGCCACCTATAAACAATGCGCTTGTCTATGTTTGTGTAAGGGACCTAACACTTTCCAGATATATTTTTTTTTAACTAAGGGAGACAATTTTTGGGCAAAGTTTTCTTAGTTGGAATGTAGTTTTTTTTTTTCGCATTTTTCATAATAGTTCAGTAGTTTTACATTTTTTTAATTTTTTAGCTAAATTTCTTAATCAAATCTGTAAAATTCCACCAAATGTTTCTTTTTAATCTAGATATTGGTAATTTATATTTCAAAATAAAGTAATTAATTAGGGAGCTCTCGTTTATAATGTGCCAAATGGTCACGGAAAGACCCACAATGTACATGCCGCCTACTTTTCGTCCTTCTTAGGACGTTATTTTTTGTTGTTTGAAGCCCCACTCTGGCTTTTGCCATGGGCCGCAATATAGGCAGGTCATCATTATGGCCAAATGTCTGAACGCGGTTTCTGGGACCTCTCCACGGTGATCCTCATCCGCATGGTGGCACTTTGTGTCATCGGGTGTTTATCGCTTGTGTGATGTCCTGGTGGGGTAAAAAATCCAATCCAATGTACATGCCACTGGAACTACAATCTGGAACTATTACACTATCCTTGAAAGGATAGATTTTTTTTTGTCGCCGATGATTCGGCCAATTAATGATGCATGGACGCAGTGATTCCACTTTAGATGATGTACATCCAGATTAAGATGGCGTTTTAGACATTTAGATGGTAGATGTTTTTGTACATGTTTTTCAATTGGAGTGAATTTTTCAAATGTAGCCTAAGAAACAGGATGACATTTGATCTTCTAAATGCTATTCTTGACAATAAAATTCGGCCTTATAAGATTAGGTAAAGGTTGTTCCACCTATTAGCTCCCTAATTGGGTATTATAAGAAATTGGAACAGCTAAAACATACCAGAGTAATTTTGGATCTGAAGCTTCAACTTCATCACACAAGCTACGTTTATTACGTTTATCCTGTGGATCTTGTAAGGCAGACTTCAGTAAACATAAGGACATGATTCTATAGGGTAAGTTATATCAATTGCTATGTAATTTGTGACTTTCCATTTTTATGTTTTTTCTTGATGTTTTCCACACAAATTTAGATGTTTTTAGATATGTTTTGACTCTGTTTTGGATGTTTTTTGTCAAAGAAAAGTGGCAACACTGCATGGACGCAACTATGACAAGAAGCTGATGGCTGTCAGGATTGTCAAACACAGCTTTGGGATCATCTACCTTCTCACGGGAGAGAATCCCCCCTCAGATCCTGGCCAATGCAATCATCAACAGTGGACCACGTGAGGACTCTACCCGTATTGGACGTGCAGGTACAGTGGATGTCTCGCCACTCAGGCGTGTCAATCTGACTGCTGTGCACCGGAGCCCGTGAGGCTGCATTCGGGAAAATCAAGACAATTGCTGAGTGTCTCGTTGATGAGCTCATTAATGCTGCAAAGAGTTCGTCTAACTCCCATGCCATTAGGAAGAAGGATGAGCTTGAGAGAGTTGCCAAGTCAAACAGATAAATCAGTCAGCTTAAATTGTTTTCCCTTTTGTTGTAATGCAAAAGGGTAATAAATGTTCTGTTAAAGACTGGGGGGGGGGGGGGGGGAAGGAACTGTACTGTATCTGTATTTTTGGAGAAATACTCTGTGATTTATCCCCCTCATAGTCTCATTATTCTGTCGGCTTTATGGCTAAGTCGATGCGAACACTTCGCAATGCCAGGTTCGGTCCCAGCGGCGGACAATACGCATTGCGTTGGTTTCGACTTTTTCATCAACATTCATTTAAGGGTTTCATTTAGCTGTCCTTGTTTCCCCTCAATCCCTTTACTTCCCTTTTTAGTGCCTGTTTGGTGATTCTCTACTTGTTTGTTTCAACCCGTGTGTCCAGTATAGCTTTATTTTCTTTGTCTCATAACTGCTGTTAGCAGTCGTTGCCCGGACATTTTTCTGATTTCTTCACCCTTCTTGTATTCATCCACTTTAATGCTCAATAACTGTCTCATGCATTTGTTTTCTTCTTCTTTGTTCATTCATTTGGGCTTTTTTCTTTACCTGGACCTGAGTTTTGCGTGTACATCCATTTTACTTGCTTATTTGTTTGCTGTTCCCTGCCTCACCAGCAGATATACTCCGAAGTCGTCAAGCCTATCTCTAGGATGACTGTGGCCATTGTTTTGTGTGGGTCGAGATCTTACCTCATTTGTGTAGTGTCCTCTTTGTCCCTTTATCTACAGATGTTGCCCCTGGAGTACCCCTTTAGGGCAGCCCTATGTAGAACAGTTAGCCCTCAAAGGAAAGGCAGGGGCAGATCATGGGCATTACCCTCCATCCAAGGAGGCTTCCATAAATGCATAGCCGGCACATGACGCTCTGGTTCTGGGCTCACTCAAGGAATCATCACGTCCTGCACATGACTGCTTGACCTCACAACCGTATATTAGGCTTCCTGTTCGACACAAGTCTTGTCTATACAAGGAAGAACAACTCTATACAAGGAAGAAGCAACATCAATCAAACCGACTAGAACAACACAACAAAATGGAACCAAAGGAAACCATATTCAAACAAACCCTACTCAATAAAGATGGCAACTATAGGCATCAGCTACAAAGCTGAAAAAGTCTGAACGAGATCGAATTATCTTTTTCTTTTACAAGAAGCCAGCAAGCAACACAAGTCTTGCATGAGGTTCCGTGAAACTAGAACAGTGAAGTGCTGGTAGCCGAGTGATGTACGGAGTATCTCCTTATATACATCACATTGGACTTAACTTTCCCTCACGCCTGTGACAGAAATCACTGCGCCACACATTTGTTTTAAAAATGCATCTTACTTGTGTTCTGCATCGTTGGAAACTCCCCACTGATAATTTTGCAATGATTGATGCGAGCCAGCATGATGCATGTATTAAGTCATCGTCAATACAGCAACACATGCTCATATGCACAATGCACATACATATACATGTACTCATATGTTTAGACAATATACATCTACATATAAAATAAATAATTTGCAGTGATTCTATATGTATTCATGTGAAAGTGTTTAGTTCTTGCTAGTGTAGTCAGGGTGAAACATGTTTTTAGTTAGTGTATTTCCAGGTGAATCACATGTTTGGTGTTTTTCAGGGTGAATCACATGTTTGGTGTTTTTCAGGGTGAATCACATGTTTGGTTTATTCAGGGTGAATCACATGTTTGCTGTGTATGTCTAGCCACAACCAGTGCCACCTAAGGGTTTTTATCTATCAGACCGCAAGATGAGTGTGATTACAAACCCAAGATATGAGCACACACATACCCACTCACATACACGCAGACACACACACGTACACATGCACGCAGACACACACACGTACACATGCACGCAGACACACACACGTACACATGCACACACACAATTAAAGTTAATAACCCATTATTGTAATATAGTTTTTTTTTTTTTTTTTTTGGTAGTTATAAAACTGCATGTTTACTCACATTTAATAAAATGTCACATCAACATCTCTTCTTCTGAAACAATTTCCATCTTCACCGACTCTGTGCTTTCCTATCATCTTTAAATATCTTTGACTAACTGTATCACTTTGCAAATTTTTCAACAATTCTGTGGTAGGCTCCTGCTTGAATAGGCCTCCAAAACACTTTCTGCAGGTTTGTAGATATGATAGTTGGTACCTTGTTTGTTTGTTTAAATTCACGTTAGATAGTTTCGAGCTATTTTTAAAGACATTTGAGTGCGTACTTAGGAACCCTGTTTACTGCCTTTGCAACAACAACAACAAATTGAAAGGATCTTAAAATATACTGGTTGCCTACTGTTAAAGTATGTAATGTTTGCAATGTAAACTCTGATAATGTTTTGAATAACTGTCGAAATAAAATTTCTGTTCATCAGAAGGCCATTAGTATAAAATGCAGGGATATGTTTTTATGGTTAATGAGTCTAAATGTTTAGGATTCAAATCAGCTTTTGGGTCCAGCAAAGCTCACTATTATTGAAAACATGCACTCACAGTGGGCTTCTATACTTTTATTTTAACTTCCGAGTACATTAACATTTAATCATTTTAATTTTAAACATTAAACAAACAAACAAAACTAATGGTTTCTTAAATTTAACTTCAAAAGTTTGTATAAGTAATAACTTATGATTTTAATTTCTTTTCATATAAAATTAGCAGGTTAACAAATCTTTAATAAACAAATCATGACCTTTGCTGGCACAGAATTAAAACTACAGATGCATTTTTCTTGCTTTTACTGGTGCAAACTTGTCTCTTATGTGCTCAGATTCATTTTTCTAAGTTTCTTCTCTTTCTGCACTGAGTTGTCTGCCTGATTAAGAATTAGTTTCATTTTACTGAAAGATATTTTAAAGCTGACATTATCATCATTATCAAGTGCCTCGCCGACTGGTGTGGGCTATCATGCCCCTCTACAATCTGCGATCTCCTGCAACATGTACCAGTTCGTGTGCTGACACACCTCCATGCCATGCAACAAGACTGTCAAGAATCTTCTCTCGTTGCCTTCCTCTATTCCTCCTTCCACAGATCTTTCCAGTGGTCACAACATGTTCTATTTTCCCTCTTCTCATAACATGGCCGAAAAATGATGACTGTCTCCTTCTGATGTCTGTGATACGTTGTCTTCGTGTTCCCGCCTCTTTCAAAACCTCTTGGTTGCTCTTTTCAAAAATCTTTTTTCTAAATCAAAGCTGACAATGGTAAACATTATCTAAATAGAAATGCAAAAATTAGGAAAAACACTCTCATCTCCATAGTGGACAATTAAATTGATAAGTTCTTCAGGTCGTGTTATCCTTATGTTGGTATGACTTGACAGTTGTAATCTGCATTATAGAATCTTTTGTTGATCATCAAAATCAGCGCTGTAAAATTCACGCAACTTTAGCACCTAGTCCAAACAATATCACAGTCCATCAGCATCAAGGAGGAACTCAATCTTTGCATCGATGTCATCCAAACGAGTATACCTTTCAGTCATTTCTCTGTGGAGAAGGCCGATTGTTACCTTCATGACCCTATCGATAGCATCTTTCTCCATTAACCCAGCTTATACTGACTTGTCTTCAGCCACTGGATTCTTTCATCTCCTTTTCAACTTAAACATTCCATTCCTCATCACAGAGATGAAATCATTTTTCGAGTGATTTATTGACCCACACTTGTCGTTTCTCATTAAAATTTTCTCAGGGAGCTTTAAGATCCGGGACAGAATCAGGAAAATTCATGCTAGGATGAATGTCACATGAATAGTCGGAAGGACTTATAAATAGCTCCAGATGGGCGTGCTGGGTCACTGGAAGGACAAATCTACCAACCCGATGTGCACCGAATGCCTGGGCTACAACTCAACGGAGCACTACCTGCTAAAGTACGACAAATTTAAGATAGAAAGAAAGGAACTGACCAATTATTTCGAAACAAAAAAAAAAACGAAGCAATGACCTCCCGGGCCAGCCTAAGCCTTAACGGCCCACCTATAGTACATAAGATGATCAAACAGTTCACCAGCAGAACAACCAGCATAACTTCTTACGTCCTTCTTAGGACGTTATTTTTTTGTTATTTGGAGCCCCACTCTGGCTTTTGCCAGGGGCCGCAATATAGGCAGGTCATAATTATGGCCAAATGTCTGAACGCGGTTTCTGGGACCTCTCCACGGTGATCCTCATCCGCATGGTGGCACTTTGTGTCATCGGGTGTTTATCGCTTGTGTGATGTCCTGGTGGGGTAAAAAGCCAATCCAATCCAACAACCAGCAAGGACACCTACTAATAAAACATCCGTGAGCTACAAGCAGAAAACTGTGCACCCGACGCCGCTACACCAAACTGACGCCGCTACACCAAACCGACGCCGCTACACCAAACCGACGCCGCTACACCAAACTGACGCCGGACCAGCAAGGCCAGCCCGGCTGACTACTCTCTCTCTCTCATCCTAGCAAGCTGTCAATCACACTAACTCCTCCAACCTTACTCTATTTCCTAAAAAGCCTACATTCCACGTAGCACCCTCTGGGCTTCTTCTCTATATTTCCACTACATCTTTACCTTTTTCTGAAATTGAATATGTTTGTATTTATGCCATGCACAGTTTCCATGTATCCTTTTTTTTTGGGGGGGGGGGGGGGGAAGACACACACAATACAAACAAACGGCAACAGTTGTAAAAGACACGTACACAAATATCCACAAAGCAAAGCATGCAAAACACTACACTGAACACACACGATTTGGAAAGAAAAAAAAAAGGCCAAAACAGAAATGCTCGAAAAAGCTAACGCACAAGCACATGCATGATGCGGAAAAATAAAAGCACCAAAAAGATGTTAAATTGGGGTCCCTGAAAAGGGTCTTGTGTTTGGACCCACTGGGTCGCGGACTTATCGATTTCGAGGTGGTGTAAAAGGTGACGGCCCAGGCACAATAAGTGAACGCTCGCAGGCAAGCAGCTTAAACCAGGAAGATAGCACAAAAACCAAAAG